AACAGATGTTTTTAGCAGGTACGAGCTGTAATGGTGCAGCTCTATTCTGGAAAAGGGGGCGGGGAGCAGCTGCTCATTTGCATTTAAAGAGACAGGAACGAAAAACAGCGTGTTTCTGCTTCCACTCAAAATAGGCATTTTCAAAATTATATAATAAATGATCAGTACTTTGAGCTGAAACTTCACAGACACATTCTGGGAACACCAGAGACTTATATTACATATTGTAAAAAGGGGCATAATATGTCTCCTTTAAAGTGGTCATGACGTGAGAAATTAAATTTCCCTTGATCGTTTATCTAACCAAACTGGCTCATTTGGATATTGTGGGATCGTCCTGATTCCAAATGCTGTAAAAGATGAGCGTAAATTAGGGTGTTCAGTGTTCACGAGAGTACCACGGCGCATGCGTGTGGTGCTGCTGACGCAGGAGCCGGTGTTCTTACATAGAACATCAATCTCTCTTAGTTCGTCGTCTGTATATTCTGGTTCAAATAAGTAAGGCTGGGGAAAAAAATTGCACATCATCCTCTCTGTCGAAATCTTTAGATTGTGCGTCGTGGTACTCTCCTGAATGCGTGGCGGAGACTGACACGGAAGAGAAGAAATTGTTGAATGAAGTTCTCTGTGTTTTCTTTGCACACAAAAAGTATTCTCATAGCTTCATAAAATTACAGTTGAACCACTGATGTCACATGGACTATTTTATCGATGTTCTTAATACCTTTCTGGGCCTTGAATGTGGTAGTTGTGTTGCTGTCTATGGAGGGACAGAAAGCTCTTGGATTTCATCAAAATATCTTAATTTGTGTTCCGAAGATGAACGAAGGTCTTATGGGTTTGGAATGACATGAGGGTAAATAATTAATGACAGAATTTTCATTTTTGGGTAAACTATCCCTTTAACTAAGAACTTATACTGTTATTTAGGAGAATTCTTAGTGGTAAGATAAAATGTTTTGTGAATATGGCCTCTGGTCACTGTCGCGTAAATGGTATTGGATGTAAACGTGATTCATCTATAGAGTAATTCTGACCCTTTGGCTTGCCATAGTGATAGCTTTGACATGTACTCTGGGTTGTATATCTATATATAGCCTTCAGAAACAACAAGTGAATGGATCGGATTGTGTCGGAGGATTTTATGTTTGTTCGGAGCATTTGACTGGGTTTTGTAAACGAGACCGTGTAATGGGAAGTCTGCAAAGAAACTTCTGTTGAAAGACGAAGCAACCAACTGTATTGGATCTGACAGCAGCTGCACAGCAAACCGTAAGTAAACAATTTCATAATGCTGTCTGTAAATGACAGTATATGTTTTATATGGGTAATGTTTTCAAAACACACTCACGTGCATTAAAGAGGTGGTGTTGAAGCATAGATTCTTTTAGAAAAAAAAAAAATATATATATTTGTATCAAAATATGTCGATCAGAAATTCAGATGGCTTAAAATTTACTCTGGAAAATGAGTAAAACATCATTATATTTATTGGTTCAGTCTTAAATGCCCTATCTTAGAACTGCTTCGAACAAATCGTTTGAGAATTGTTGGAAAATGAGGTGATATTAAATGCATATTTTGAGAAAACTAAATCTTTTTTATTTTTTTTATTTATTAATTTTTTTTTTTTTTTTTTGGACCTTGACAAAGAAGATCCTCTGAGCGATGTCTGTGAAGCTCATGACCCTTTAGCTAGACGTTCACTTAAAGGTCACTTACAGCCAACTTAAGGTGGCTGTACATGATGAAATAAGATTTGAGATTCCTCAGTGCATCTTCACCAAACTGTAGACTTGATCTCCTGTGTTGGAGTGAACTGGTTTGTCAGGGATTGTGGAGTACAGGTGATAAACATTCTTAAGGGAGAATGTAAAAAACGATAGAAAAGACACATTAAGGAAATGTGTTAGTATTCTGTTCATGGTGCATGTCTCATTTGGTTTTGTGGGTTTGGTGGATGACACTGTTCACACATACCACATTTTCCTCTGTGTTTCTCCATTTCCGTTTTTTTATTGACCAAAGCATCTGTAATGCAATGCAGAAGCATTTGAACCAGTCATATCATTTTAGAAATGTTTTGACCTTGATGAACAAGCTCTTTGTCATGAAGCTTTAGTGTATTTGTACAGCAGAATCAGCTCTTCTCAGACTCATTCTGTGCAACAGTGTTTTGATGAATTTAGAATTTGTCCCACTTTCTCCATATTCACTCACTGTGTTCGGCCAAGTTTTTCAGTGCCTAAATGTGGGCATGTAAGATGTAGCTTTTGGGCCAGAGAGGAAGTTTCGAGTTGTGAAACCACAGTGTGTTTTTATAGTAGGCCTAGACATTCGATTCCTCATGATATATGAAAGACTACTTTAATGAAAGGAACATTTCATTACCTGAGGGCTGGTAAATGGATTTACAGATGTAATGAAAGAGCGAGTGTCTGTGGGAACTGCTGTGCTGTCCTGATGTGACTCTGGGTGTTCGAGGCCTTTGAAAGAACACCATGATGAAGAGGGTCAAACAGAGTCAATAGAAAAACATCCAAAACAAGAGAAAAAAATAACTATGGTGTCTGAAAGTTGCAGTTGGTGGTCAGTTTGTGTGTAAATGTATGTTTTTGACCAACTTTTTCCCCCTTTGATGTTATTTCTAGAGAGAAATTAATATTATATTAATTAAATATTTGCATATTATCAACAGAGCGCACTCTATTTTGTTGTAGATCATTAAACCGTGTTGCTGACTCAGAAGCCTGTCTGAAATCAATTTTGTGAGGTGTCTTTGTGCACAAAAACTGCCTGCAAAGTCATTGCCTGATCAAGGCAGCAAGGCAACAAGTCAGCAACCTAAGTTTTCGGACGCAGCCACTAGAAACTTCCAGAGCTGGTAGGAGCTAAACTCAGCAGGAACAGGTTTAAACACTCCAGGCCTAAAGCTTCAAACTAGTTTTTTTAGAAGCTCAAAAGCCCATTGACAGTGTAAACGTCCTGCAAAATAGCTCATTTTGTGTTCCACAGAAGAAAGAAAGTCATATATGTTTGGAACAGCATGAGGGTTACTGCTAAATGGAAATGGTACCAGTTTCTGAGAATCTGTGGTCGCTGTACAGGGTTTCTAACTCAGCAGGTTTATTTAGCTTAGTTGGTGACATCTGTTATTAAGTTTCAAGTTATCTGAGATCATTTTCTGAGAATGATGTTCTCTCACCTACAGATATGGGCTGAGATGTGGCTGGTACAGAAGTGATCAGAGAATATGTCTCTGCAGGTCCAGAACAACTCTAAATAACAATCAATAATTAAGATCAAGTCCCTTTTCAACAATTCTTATTAATTATGGATTATTATAAATGTTTATTATTATAAATAGGGTGATACTCACCGTACCAGTTTCTTGACTGGGCTCATTCAGTTTTTTTGATCTCATTTTATAGCAAAAAAAAATAAATATTGATATTTATGACATCTCTTCATACATGAATATATCAGATAAGAAGCTAATTTCACATTTACACATACAGCTAGATAACAAAAATGAAACAAAAAAATCTTACTGTTTTCTTCTTTTTTTACCTAGAAAACAATGAGCTACTGAATTAAACAGTATGTCAATAGTCAATTCTAGATTGCATGATAAATTCTGTACGAAGCTTAGTATACACATATACAACAGAACCTACAAAGTAACGTACTTACTTGCAAACCGGCAGAGACAGATGAGTCCTGTGAGTCCAGATAAAATTACAGCAACACCAGTGGAAACCAGCACTATAAACCATACTGTGTCAAAACAATATCAACACTTTAATCCATGTTTATCCATGTTTTGGTTTTCTATATGCATCAGTCACTTGAGAATTAAAGTATTACTCAAACGAACTGAGAAAATGTATGGACATGTAGATTTGTTTTACTTATTTTAAAGAAATTTGAAAGAAAACATCTAATTCATGCAACAGTCAAATCAGCCCAAAAGGAAAAGGACTCAGAAAACATGTGTATTGTATTGGACCTTTAGGACGATCAGTTGAAATGTAAACATTAGGAAGAAATTTGTAGTGTTGAAGTGGTGTTTTAGTGATTTCATGAAAAAGGAGAATTTTCCTTATATGTTGTTCTTCTGATATTTAGAAAAGATGCAGTAAGTTACCTGTTCTGTGGGACGATGGGGTTTCAGATGTGAGAATGACAGCCATTGTTGCTGAAGCTGAAATAGTAGAATAATGTGCTATATGAGATACAATAAACACTTTGAAATAATAATTATTTTGCCAGGTACATGTTTTAATTGAACACTAATCTTTACTCTGCATGTGTACTCTGCAAAGACTGCATGTATCTTTGTTGTACCGAACTAAATATTGTAGCAGTGACCATGATAAACACACAGTTGTAAATTGGAGGATAGATTCAAAATATTAAAGTTATATTAAAGAAGCATTCATATGTATGATGCAAGTATGTCAGAGCTAAAATGCAGTCACATTTAATTGAGACAAATGTATTATTATTGAGAATAATAATAAATATGCAAGCATATTGGGTGAAACATAATATTCAATGACTTAACATTTTGTGCAGACATAATTTTGGAGCAAAGCAATTTTGCCATTTGCTTTTTAACGTGTAATCTACAGTACTTACTATATTCTGACATTCTACTGTTACCAGGCTGAGTAGAGGTTGCCATGGAAACTGCAGAAAAAGTAGTGCCACAGCATGTAGTTACAGTATTAAACTAGAATGTTTGAAAAAATATATATACATAATTCATAAACAATTAGTAACCATGTTTAAAAAGCAGCATAATCATGAACCACATCATTTTTTAATTCTCTGAGTGCTGCTGCTTACCATGTACCAATAATCTTTGAAAATAGATCCCAGCTCTATTTCTGAATATAGTTTTTGAATTCAACATATTAATTCTACAAAGTTACTTTTACCATTGAGGAAGAGTGGATTAACTTACTAATGGGTTCCTTTGTTGTGCTTGTTGAGAGGATTGTCTTGGACTGGAGGTCTGCAAATATAAAAATAACATATTGCAAGGGGAATCACTTTTTAGAAGGGAATCGTTTCTCAAATTTAATCCAGAATAACTAGAAAATGTGTTATCAGTAACTTACTAGTTGTCTTGGCTGTTTTTGTACTCGTATGTTCAGTGGTGGTTGGTGTTGAAACTGCAGAGACAAATTATCAGAATTACAGGGAGTCAATTTACATCATTTGCAAACTTTAAAGCAAAGTTTGTTTGTTGAAGGTACAGATACAAAAATAGCATATGTCACATACTGGTGATGTAACTTGACATCATCTCACCCATACTACTTCACATAAGTAAATTAATAAAAAAACTCACTCTGGACTGTTACTGTCACTGGATCAGAGTGAGCAGATGGTTTTTTAATTTGTCCCTTCATCACAGTGTAGAAGCAGCTTATTCTCACAGATGAACTCTGACCTACAGACCAAATACTGATCTGAGATCCAGTGAGTGAGAGCTGACATGATGAGCTCACTTTTGAGTTACTTTCTTCTCCATTTATGTAGAAGTAACACTTCTCCATCTTCAGATCTTCAGTATTCTCACAGCTCAGCTCAACTGTGTCTGTTTCCAGAATAACTGAAGCAGACGCTCTCAACTTGGCCTGAGGAAGATCTAATGAATAAAAAAGAAAAAATATAATGTGTTCATATAGAGATCTCAGATTAGAAGCAAGTGACTCTTGAGACTGCACAAACCTTTCCTTTCAGTCCTTTTTAATTCTGTCATTTTGAAGGAAAAACAACAGCACAAAAATACATATTAGCAAAGATTTGATGAGTTCAGTGATGTTTTGTGGTATTAGTTGGTCTCACAAAATATAAAGATCAGTGCCCAGCTGCATAAAGCACCTTAAGTTTTTCCTTAAAGGGGTGGTTGATTGCGATTTCACTTTTTTAACCGTTAGTTATTGTGTAATGTTGCTGTTTGAGCATAAACAATATCTGCAAAGTTACGAAGCTGAAAGTTCAATGCAAACGGAGATATCGTCTTTTAAAATTCTGAATTGAATCATGCCAGTGAAACTGGCCAATGGCGTTCAAGCGCGCGAAATATGAGAGGCTTCCACTCTATATAAAGCAGCGCTTGTATGTCATCTATTCAGAATCTTTTTCTTCAGCCAACCTTCTACGAGAAGCAAGAAACCTATCAACAAGACTACTCACCGTGATCTACACGCTGCAGCGAACACGCCTTCTCTTCCCCTGCTGTGTTCCGGTGAGCTTCGGAAAAAAGGATGACTCGCGATTGCCGCTCCTGCGCAGAGCCAATCGAACTCTCTGATGGCCACAAGTCGTGCGTCTTCTGCCTGGGTTGCGCACACGCAGAGGCAGCGCTTGGGGGGTCGAACTGCCCCCACTGCGGAGACA